TCTGTGTTTTGTTCAATGCCGTTACCATGATTTAACTCAATAAGCTAATAGGCATTGGAATTATTAGTATCAAAAATACGTCATGCATGGTGTTTCTTCTAACAAAATATTTGATTTCTTCATATTTATGCTTCCCATTTTTCCTTTTTTATGCAGGCTGCAAGGGAAACTGGTGCACTAAAAGAAGCAAAGGATAAGCTTGAAAAGAATGTTGAGGAACTTACATGGCGTTTGCAGCTGGAGAAACGTTTAAGGGTAATAGTTTTAATCTGTAGGTGGATAATATTCAGTAGAGAACTGCTACAACATGAAACATGATTGTTCTATAGGAAGTTGACAGACTGTGTCACACTGTAGAACAGCATTATGCTAATGCATGCACACCCTTTGTAATAGCAAGCAAAAATGCATCTCGTAAATGTGTTCAACATCAACATACTTGAATTATGTTTGTTTTTAAGTCTTTTCTGCAGAGATTAAATGTACTCTATGCTGCTTTTTGGATATATGTTCATGGAAAGCGTTGAAACCATGTCTGCAGACTGACTTAGAAGAAGCAAAAGCCCAGGAGATAGGTAAACTGCAAAATTCATTGCAAGAAATGCAGAAAAAAATTGATGAAACCAATGCATTGCTTGTTAAAGAACGAGAGGAGGCAAAGAAAGCCATTGAAGAAGCTCCTCCTGTTATTCAAGAGAAAGAAGTTTTAGTTGAAGATACAGAGAAAGTTGAATCTCTAACAGCAGAAGTGGAGAGCCTAAAGGTATAAAAGTTTCAACTACAACTAATGTTTGCTTTCTTTTGTTGAAACAAGCAAGTAATAGGACGTAAACAATTCCTCCGAAACAGAATATATCTTTACATAACACCGCAAGAGTCCTCCTCAGCATTCTTAATATTGCTTTATGGTTAAAAAGACAACAATTTAAAACTACAGTTGGTTAGTAAACAGATATTTAGACTGATCATCAATGTCTCCAGAAAATATCTAAGTGAAAGAATTCCATGGGGTCACGTCAGATATGTACTTTGCTTTATGAATGAAATTGTCAGAAAAAAATCTAAGATGTGGTTGAACCCCCTTAAGTTTTTAAATCATCTACTAGCCAATCACAAGCATATTAGTACCGTCCAAGGTTTTAATCATCTTTGTATGTGCTGGCAGTTGATCATGATTAGCTTGACTTGACCTTGCTGTTACTTCCCACAGGCCTCACTGGACTCAGAAAAACAAAGAGCTAATGATGCAGAAGGAAAATACAATGAACTCCAAGAGTCAAGTGAAGAAAGACGAAAAAAACTGGAAGAAACAGAAAAAAAAGTTCAACAACTCCAGGAAACATTAAGAGGGTAGCGTGTGAAGAATAATTTGCCTTACTAGTTTATATAGATGGTCATGTTTTATGTCAAGAACAATCATGCATGAGTTCTATACTGTTCACATTCACATAAACTCTTTCTGATGTGCTTAATTGAAATCAGGTTAGAAGAGAAGCTTACTAATCTAGAGTCAGAGAATCAAGTTCTACGGCAACAGGCTGTATCTATGGCTCCCAACAAGTTCCTTTCAGGACGATCCAGGTCAATTTTGCAGGTAATTTAAATAATGGACTTGTGAAAATGCACCTAAACTTTTATTGTCTCATAGGATTGAGGAGATTAACCTGCTGTCTAATGATTGGCAGAGAGGGTCTGAGAGTGGTCATCTAGAAGTAAGGGCACCCCTGGTGAGTAAAGTGCTTATAAGTTTACACTATTATCACCATGAAAAGGAGTCAAAAATTAAAGTAAAAAACCCTCAGTCTACATTACACAGGTGTTCTTTGTTGTCTAAATTCTTTTGTTGATCAATTTCTTTTAACAGGATCTGCACAGCCCCTCAATAAACCATAGGGACCCTTCTGAAGTGGAGGAGAAACCACAAAAATCACTAAATGAGAAACAACAGGAAAACCAGGAGTTGCTCATTCGATGTATTGCACAACATTTGGGCTTTGCAGGGAACAGACCTATTGCAGCCTGTATCATATATAAATGCCTTTTGCAGTGGAGATCGTTTGAAGTTGAGCGAACTAGTGTCTTTGATCGAATCATACAGACTATAGGCCATGCTATCGAGGTTGAAATATCAAACTTTACGAACGGATGTTTTAAAAGTTCTTAGCAGAAACCCCTAATATTCTTGAACTGAATGTTGCCATATGAATTTCAGACCCAGGATAACAATGATATCTTGGCCTATTGGTTATCCAATGCCTCCACACTTCTCTTGCTACTCCAGCGCACATTGAAAGCTAGTGGTGCAGCTGGAATGACTCCCCAGCGCCGTAGATCATCATCAGCTACTTTGTTTGGGAGAATGACTCAAGTAAAACTTTCTCACTAATGTTAAGTAATACCTTTCAGAAAATTTCATTTCTGTAATTTAATACATGTGTTGCTGTTATTTTCTTAAAGAGTTTCCGTGGAACTCCACAAGGTGTCAATCTTTCCTTAATTAATGGCGGCATCAATATTGGGGTGGAGACTTTACGGCAAGTTGAAGCCAAGTACCCGGCTTTGCTTTTTAAGCAGCAGCTTACAGCATATGTGGAGAAGATATATGGAATGATCAGAGACAATCTGAAAAAAGAAATTTCACCATTGCTTGGATTGTGCATCCAGGTATATATCTTCAATAGCAGAGTGAAGGCAGATCCTAGGACTATGAGAAGGAACAGTGGAGTTTTTGTTTAATTATATTTCTTTGTTAAGCTACTTTTATGACTCTTATATGGATACAATGATATAGGCACCAAGAACATCCAGAGCAAGCTTAGTCAAGGGATCACGGTCAGTTGCTAACACTGTGGCGCAGCAGGCCTTGATTGCTCACTGGCAAGGGATTGTGAAGAGCCTTGGAAACTTCTTGAACACGTTGAAAGCAAATTATGTTAGTTGCACATCTCACTTTTCCCCTTCTGTTTATATCTATAGTTTCTATGTTTTCTGCATAAGGGTTACATGAAAATGAAAGCAATTCCTGGATCTAGTTTTGACTGTTATGTTCCAAATCAAACTCTAGTTCTGCCAAGTCTTCAAGTTTGGTTTCATAAGTTGGGAAGAAGGGAATGAGTAACGGTGCTGGCATTCTCTATGCATGTTTTGATGCCTTTTCATTAAGGATTAATGTTGTTTGATTCCTTTACAGGTACCTCCATTCCTAGTCCGTAAGGTGTTCACACAAATATTCTCATTCATCAATGTTCAACTATTCAACAGGTAACAGTCCATGCTGCTATTCTCTGCTGTCTGAAGAAAATTTTTCATATGGCATTTGATTACACTATTCTGTTGCAGCCTTTTGTTGAGGAGAGAGTGCTGTTCATTCAGTAATGGTGAATATGTTAAAGCTGGATTGGCTGAACTGGAACACTGGTGTTACAAGGCAACCGATGAGGTACATTCGACTACCTCCCAGTTCACTTTCTGGTTCTAAGATATGCACTTGCACAATTTAAAAGATATATAAATGCAGTATGCAGGTTCAGCTTGGGATGAGCTCAAGCATATTAGGCAGGCCATTGGTTTTCTAGTATGTTTCCATTCTTGTAACACTTGCTATCTGTCCTTCCCTTACTTGTAATCACAATCAGGAAATAAAAGAAGTGTTGGATTAATATCAATGGTACTTTGTTTCTGATTTAGGTAATACATCAAAAGCCTAAGAAAACATTGGATGAAATAAGCCATGATCTCTGCCCGGTGAGTAACACAAACCTAACATACTTTAAAAAAAAAAAAAAAAACACAAACCTAACATAAAATGAGATACAATTATTACTACTTTTCATATCTTCCCTGGATCTCAAGTCTCAACCAACTTCATTTTCCATTTGCAGGTTCTCAGCATACAGCAGCTGTATCGTATCAGTACAATGTATTGGGACGACAAGTATGGCACGCATAGTGTGTCCACAGATGTAAGTTCTAACAGATACAGTTTCTCAAACTAGAATAAAGACATCCCCACTATTGAAACAGTTTCGGGGAATTACACACCTTGTGGATTAAAAAGCTGATTTTTAATGAGCTCTGCTCCTCTATCTCCATCTAGGTAATAGCCAATATGAGAGTGTTAATGACAGAAGATTCCAACAATGCAGTTAGTAATTCCTTCCTGCTGGATGATGATTCAAGGTTAGCAGTTACATTCCACTATGTGATGATTAATTTGACCATCTATGTTTTTGCCATTGTCTTCCTTCTTGGCATTTCAATTTGGGATGCATTGCTCTGAAAGCTAATTGAAAACATTACCTGGAACAATCTGACCTTTTTCTTACACTGACTTCCCACTTCTGTCATTTTTGCAGCATTCCATTTTCAGTTGATGACCTATCAAAGTCAATGGAACAAATTGACATTGCTGACATTGAACCACCACCACTTATTCGTGAGAACTCAGGCTTTAGTTTCTTGTTGCCACGTTCAGATTAATCGAATATGATTCATGCCAATGGATTGGTTCTCTATGTGATACTCTCCGGTTTCTCTCCAAGATGTAGATTCACCTTCCAACCTTGTTAACTGTGAATTTCCATATGATGTTCATTAAATTTGCTTTACCTTAGAAGTATTTGTCCAATATTTTCTTTCTACATATAGGCGGCCATTGATTGAAATAGGAATGTCTTTGCTCCTAGTTAGCATAGCTGTCAAAATTTCGCTTATGTTGTACAATTAACTGACCTTTTAATCGATGGAAAATAATTAAGATTTTCCAAATTTTGCAGTGTTTCCCATCCAAATCTAATTCTCAGTTTCTGTAATCATTTTCTACAAATTTTTTATTACGAACACTGTATTAGTGGTTATCAATGCGGGACTTCAAGTAAACACCATACACCATCACTGGCTATCAAGAACTCATGGCATGATATATAGTCATAATCTTCCAGACCCTATAATCTAATTAAACAAAATACAGTTGTTTCGAAAAGATTTTCTTGCATCTGCATATGTGTAATCTAAAAGATGAAAATCTGAAGTATAAACACTGGGGTTTAGTGATCCCTAGTTCTTTTCTAGTTGTTACTGTAAAGACAGAGCAAATACCAGCAAAAAATCTACTAGGAACAGAGTTTAATCTAGAGGAGACACAAAGCCATAGATAGAGGCATGGATGACCGAGCTGTTCTCAACCTGTGCTGTCCTATGGCTTCCAGATACAAGTAAAAGGTTAAACACCGCTACTCAATTGATCAAATATATACATCATGAACAGGAAAAAAGAGAATTATCCTGGTATAATCTAACTACACATCACATTTGAATCCCATAGGTCAACTACAAAAAATAGTGCCTGCAAAGTATCACGTTACAAATAGTTCCAAACTTCAATGGACACAGCGTACAATTCATGTTCTGCTGTTTCCAATGCCACACAAGGCAGAATGGGGCCAAGCTCGTTTAAAGTAGGGTACTACTTTGGAAAAATCCCATAAGATAGAAGATCCACGACCTTGGTACTGAACCACTTCCACCCTTTCGGTCTTGAAGTGATAGAGAAATATGTTTGATCCAGATCTAATGAAGACTGATTCCGAATTTTGAGGAAGAAAGGACAATATTTCAGTTTCTTTGGACCTTGTAATAAGTTTTGTTGCAACTGTTGGATTCTTCTTCCACATTATTTTGAAATTCAACTTATATCTCTTGGTCCAATTAACATTCGACTGTTTGCTACTTGAGAATAAGGATGTATAACCACCTACATCCTTTTCAAGAACCCATATCTCCAGGCCTGCTTTACAGCTCCAACCATACTGTAGACACCCATCTGACGACTCCCCAAGGACTTGCTCATCAAAATCAAATGTCCCAGGGAGTTTAACCAAAGCAATATGCTTCTCTTCATGATCCGGGTCATAAATAGCTACATTCCCCTGGGCTGCATACCAATGGATGATGCCTCCAATCACAGTAGCCGAAGTCCAAGGAGATAGGGATATAGTTGAAGAACATGTAAGCTTGGAATAACTCCATGTACTGGTCTTTGATGAGAAAGTTTCAATGGTAACAATGTTGATTTCATCAAATCTGCTTTCACATTTTGCACGAATAACCCTGTAGCAGATATCATTGTCGGGTGAGTCTTCAACAATTAAAGCCATGCACAACTCCTCAAAGTACACCCGAGGACGAGGCAATTTATTTTGTTGCTTGGTGACAGGATCCCATACATAATAGGCCTTTGGGTGGCGACCACAAAGAAGAAGGCCATTGGAAGAGTCAATGAAGTAACCAAGATGTTTTAGGATCCCAGAAAACTTTATATCATCACCCTCTCTACTAGTAGACAGCAATGGAAGAGCAGGTTCAGAATGGGGGCGACGAGCACCACCTTGAGGTCTTCCAAGGTACAAGGAATTGCAAACGAAAAATCCTAATAGGTTAAAACCCACTTTCCATCGACTCAAGTAACTGTGACGAAAAGAAGAGCTGCATATCAAGTGAAGCCACCTCTTTGATACAACAATGAGCTTGGAAATAGATTCTGGTGGTAAACGCAGGAGGATATTGCACATTATGTCATCACAACTCAATGCAGTATGAACAAAACTGTCATGACTCATCCTTCTACTCTTCATGTAGATAAGCAAATCCTTGAAGATGTATATAGAGTATCAAATCAATCTTTGTTCAAGTTGCATCACTATGATGTTTTTAAAAAGACAGGCTACTAAATTGACACTAAAGTAATTACCTTGACAATAAACCTAGCAAACGTTTCACTTCCAATGAAAAGAAAGAGGCACCAGCCTAACACCTACAAACACAAAAAAGAATGCAATAAATTTCTCAACCAAGAAAGTCATAAAAAATCTTCAGACAAATCAATGAAACATTGTGTTAAAAGACCTATCTATAATTAGATAAAAATTTCCTTTCATACTTGTAATCTCTACCGATGGAAGATTATCTGGTAAAGCAATGAAATAGGCTCCTAAGGAGCTAAATATGCGAATTTCCTCATAACTTACGCATACTCGTTCATTAACACCGCGAAAACGAAAAAATTACTTAGAAAGTGGTAACATTCCGAGCTAGACTTATGTACACTTTCCATTATCGAACTATTAATAGTCATCGCATATTCATGAAACAACTATAAAATTCATTCAAAATGATCAACATTTTTTATCAGAATGCAACTAAAACTACAGAAAAGAAGGCAGTTTCCACAGTCTCAAGTGGCAACCAAATGGGGTTATCTTACAAGCACTCGACAAAACATGAAATGCTTAAACTTAGCAACCCAGATGTTAAAATGAGATTAACAACCCAAAAAAATGCATAACTTAGCAAGACAGAAAAAAGAAACCCAACCAAAAAAAAAAAAGGCTTTTCTTGTCTATCTTGTTTGGTTAGAGAGAGAGTGACTGAGATGGCTTGATTAAAGGACGACCCAAGAGAGAGCTTGCTCAAGATAATTTGGAAAGAATTTGAGAAAGATTTTTCATTTTTTAGGCAAAAAGGTGAAGTTGTTTCCGTGCAGTCGGATCCGAGAATAGTTTAAACGGGCTTTTGACTTACACCATGGGATGCCAAAACGACATGTCGTTGCCAAGAAAAGAAAATGTTGGATTTAATAGAAAATTAATAGGCATCACAAAACGATGTCGGATGTCTAAAATACCTCTCTTACCCACTGTCGTTACGCCGTCGTTTGGGTTGTCTTCTTTCTCTGCTGCTTCTCCAAACTTTGCTCCAGACTCCTGAAATTGGAAAAGGGGAACTTGAAAGCAAATCGCTTGGAATTCAAGATGGCAACTTTCATCAATTCCAAGTCAATTTTCGGGTTACTGGTATTACCATGTTTGCTTCTCTACAGTTCGATTGCAAACAATTCTTCTTCTGTCGAAGCCACTATGCATACTAACAACTGGGCTGTCTTAGTTTGCACCTCTCGATTCTGGTAATGAATCAAACAAGAACATCTTTTTTCTCACTTATTTTTTTTCTATATTTCTATGATTTCTTTCTTGATTGAGCTTTAGGATCAAATGAATAATACCCATGTTGTTTTTTGGGATAATCTAAATTACCCACCTTTTGTTTTTTCTTAAATTTTTTGTTTGATTTGGATGCTCCATTTGTTTGACATTATTCTGAATTTGAGAGAAAGACTGGATTTTTGTTTTAAGATGCTAATTGGATATTTATTCATTTGAATATTTGAGCTCAGTGGCTTTGTAGTTTTATTATAACATTGATAAGTTTGATATTATCAGATTCTGCCTTGCTTTGACTCATAGAGAAACTGCTTTGTCTTTTGGTATTAGCTTAGTTTCTTTGCTTATTCTTTTGACGTCTCTCACAAGATGGTAATGATGAATCAACTGTCAATCTGCTTTCTGATTTTCTTAATTAGATGCTATCAGGTACCAGCTTTCTTCTTTGGTTCTGCTTGTGTGTGCTGGGGAAGTATCCCACATTTGATGATCTGCAAAACGTTTTAGGGATGACGGAGACTTCATTGAATTCTTTTTACTTCTGGTTCATTAATACAATTGAAATGTTAAAATAAAGCCTTAGAAATGCAAATGTAAGTTCCAAATCTGGTAATGGTGGTATCGTACATGATTTTTGTCTTTTCTAAGCTTTGGATCTTCTTCAGTAAAGAACTTTGCAGATGTTTATATGAGACACATGCTATCTCAATAGTTACTGTCACTTACCATTATTTAGTCACACGACACTAGTCTAACTTTCCATTTTGTTATTGTACTTCATCTGCTACAATGTGAAATGTGCTAATCTTGTTTTTATTTGATGTCAAACTCGAATATGTCTACTTCACAATGTAAAGTTACATTGTCAATTGAATTAAATTTGCAACTTTCTGATTCAGGTTTAATTATCGACATATGGCCAACACCTTATCATTGTACAGGTAACCAAGCAGCTGCCTTATTTTTGTTTTTCTTCTGCTATAATTTTCAATTTTTCTGGTTGATTTTTTCCTTAACTTGGATTTCCAGGACAGTTAAGCGGCTAGGAATACCTGATGAGCGGATAATACTCATGCTTGCAGATGACATGGCTTGCAACACTAGAAACAAGTACCCTGCTCAAGTTTTTAACAATGAGAACCATAGACTTAACCTCTATGGAGATAATGTTGAGGTTAGTATTCTGTCACCACTAACGAGTTTGCCTCTTCTTTGCCTTTTTTTGTTTTTTTTTTTTTTTTGGGGGGGGGGGGGGGTTTGTGGAGAGGAAGGCGGGGGAGAGCCTTAATTGTCTGGTCTAACCCAATTGAGATATTATATTACCTGAAACATTTCATCTAAGCAATATGCCAATGCTTGACATCTAGTGTGCTGAATGAGGAGATTGAAGCCTTTTTGATTTCTACTTATGTCGTAATTACAGACCATGAATTATGGTACCCGACTTTGATCATCTTAGGTGTTCCTTAGGTGCTGTTGCTTGCACTAAATTGTGCTTGAAGGGATTTTTCATTAAGTGTAGATTTATCTGAATTGCAATCTCTCAGGTTGATTACCGAGGTTATGAAGTAACAGTGGAAAACTTTTTGCGTGTTTTAACTGGACGTCATGAGACTTCTGTTCCAAGATCAAAGCGTCTCTTGAGTGATGAAGGAAGCCACATTCTTCTATACATGACAGGGCATGGAGGAGATGAATTTTTAAAGTTTCAAGACTCAGAGGAACTACAGAGTCATGATTTAGCTGATGCTGTGAAACAGATGAAAGAAAAGCTTAGGTGAGAACATTTTACTCTTATAACTCCTGCCTTGACTTATTTCAGAATTAAGCCATAGAAGTGGAAGTTGTATGGCATTTGGAAGTTATGGTGAAATGTGTTCCTCCCATTTTGGTTGGAACTCTGTAACAACTTCTCACTTAACTTGAATTTTAAAGCGGTTGGGAGAAAAGTACTAGAATTTGCCTTTTCCTGTGAGAACTATCTTTTTACAGTTCCTTGTAAGTAGTAACCTTATCATGTTTTGCTTTTATGCACCTTGCTGATGATCTAGTTGTAATTGCTATGTAACAATCGACTCATGTGCTGTTGATAATGCTACAAGTGTAGATTCAAGGAGTTGCTGATAATGGTGGACACTTGTCAAGCAGCCACTCTCTTCAATCAGGTTTTTTAATCTACTTCAAATAGAGCTTTACTGCTCCAAATATTACAATATTCAATTCCTAGCCATAACTTTATACATTTCTGATAGGAGTATTGCCCTTGAACGTTTATTTATGTGGAAACAATGCATATTAGTCAAAAGATTTAATTTTTTTCTGAGGAACTTCAAATAGATTCACTGCACTATTGCCACATCATTGGTGCAATCGATTATCATCATCATTTACTCCATTGAATCACATTTTAGTCCCCCTCTTGATCAATACTGTCATATCCATTTTCATGGCTAATACACATCTCTTTAAAATTTGTGAGCATTATGTCTAATCTATCCGAACCTATGCCTTGAGAACTTGCTGCTTTTCCTGTTTCATCTGGTCACTGATATTCTTGTTTTGGTGCATTTTGGTGCAATTCTGACTGTTTTGTTTACTTACAGATGTGACATTCTGAAACTTCTAACTATGTTTTTTGGCATAAAAAATGTGCTTTATTTGATAATTGATCTCTGGTACTAAATTGAAAATCTTTTTCTGTCTTATATTTGCAGCTGCAATCCCCTGGTGTTTTGGCTATTGGAAGTAGCATGAAAGGAGAGAACTCATACTCACATCACTTGGACTCTGATGTAAGTGATGACAGGAAATTGTTTATCATTTTTGAGCAGTTTAGCACCCTGTAAATAGCAAGTGTCATGCTTGTACATGTCTATTACCTAAGTTGTTATGATTTCAGTATCAGGTTTTTGGAAGTAGATCGCTTCCTGGTTATAGGGCACCACGTGTAGACACTGGTTCTAAGTCTTATTATATTGTTCATTTGATTCAGGTTGGTGTATCAGTTGTTGATCGTTTCACGTATTATACCCTTGCTTTTTTTGAGAGGCTAAATATATATGACAATGCCTCATTGAGCAGGTATGTCAGCATAGGAATTTATGATAACAAGGTCGCTATTTCTGCTTTTGCAGTGAATTGTCTTTAAATCCTTATGCTTTTCCTGTCAATTATTTGTTATTTTATTTTATTTGGCATACATAAGTCCTCTCAGATCATATTGTTCTTTTGTCAATTTAAATTTGCGTCCCTCATCCATTTAAGTTGGCTATTCCTTTTGACATTTTTGCCACTTCCTCAAAGCAATTTATCTCTTAAAACTAAGCTCTGAACCTTTGACTTTTGTGGTTATTTTGCAGTCTTTTTAGTTCTTACAATCCAAGTATGTTGATGTCAACTGCATATTACCGGCAAGATCTATACCAACGGCGTCTGGAGGAGGTATAGAGGTCCCAATTTTGTTTTTAATGTTGATCTTCTAGCTCTATATATCTTTAGATGCTTTACTTTGTGCTTCTCTTAAATGAGAGGCTTTAAGTGCCTATAGCTGGTAACTAGCTTTTCATTATCAGCTATATGCTTTTGTTCATGAGATCTAGGGTTGAATTGTGGGAGCAGTGCCCAAAATCTCAAACTTCCTGGCATCAAATCTGCATTTTTAACTATATTATTGATATTAATTGTTTTTTAACGATTGGAACTTCTTAGCATCTCTTATCACGATGAGCTGCTATTTGTAATACCTGACATTGAAGCATCCTGTAACCAAGTCCCTTCCCTCTCTTTCTCTCTAGGTACCTGTCACAAACTTCTTTGGCTCAGTCATGGAAACAATACATACTGATGCTACCTACAAAGCCCTTTCAAAGAAAGATTCTGGCAGGTTTGAAGCCCAAATGCCTTTGGACCAGTCGGTTCACCACGACGAGAGAAGAACATTGATAAATGTAAATGATCAGGATGAAATTCACAACACAAAGGCAGAGGTGATTTGTTCTTACCTTCCCTTCTGTGGTTATCTGTTTGCTTTGATTTATGGATAACCTTGGCTTACAATAGGGAAACACACAACTGTTGCAGGGTCAACAGGGTGCCTCAAAATGTCCGTTCACTACTTTCTATGACAAGTTGCAAAAGGGTGAAAACGTTGATTCCTTAGTGAACTACGGCTTGGTAGCCATGCTTCCTTTCTTGGTAGTTTCCTCGTGGCTGTTTCAATGATCTCTCTCTTTAGACATTTCTAACAAAGGATGTTTCTCTAAACTATATTTGCTCATTTTTTGTCATAGTATAAGATATAACTAATTTTGATTCCTTTTCTCTGACACATTATTAATTTGTTTGATTCTAAAGTGAAATAACAAAATTTGGAAATTAATTATTTGAAGCAGTGTGTAAAAACCCCATGAATTGCAATATACCATGTTAAAGACAATCTTTCAACGTAAACACACGAGTGAATGAAGAACAATCAATTGCAATACACCATGTTAAGAACAATCATTCAACATCTGCATTTTCGCCATTTCAAGCTTGATATCAAATAAGCTGTTCCCCTTACCTTTCTTGAACCGGATTCCTACCTGGAAGAGCAATCAATTGCCCTGCTTAAAATAAGAAAGGACTGCAAAAACAGTTTGCACCAAGGTAAGTAGTAGCAAGATAGGTCCGGCTATAATAGACGCAAGGACCTAATCCCATGGAGTGTCGAAATATTTATTCGTCAGCTTGATCTTCCATAACGTCCATCGACCCCGGCAATATTGTTCACATCAATAAATAACTCCAAGTAATAGAAGTTGGAGGTGGACAAGTGTACGAAGTCATTCAGTTTGTTGAACATGTGGGCAACCTCTTCATTGCTTCCTAACCAGTTAACAATGATTCCACTGTGAGATAGCAATGCCACGTCGTCGCCATAGTTGATGAGGCAGTCCATGAATCTTGTGTAATCCATGACATAAGTAGGACCTTCGTTGAATTGTTCATAGGCAGTGAAGTTCCGGAAGATACGCTCTGTATCATGGTAAATCGTCAGGGTCGGAATCTGAAATCGACCCTTTTCAAACTTGATATCAAACAAGCTATTCTCTCCGCTAGCCTTTTTGAACTTGATTCCTACATCTAAGAGCTCTTTGGCAGAACGTAAGAAATTCCACTTGCGATCTGTCACAGGCTGCTCCGAACGCTTTATTCCTTCGGATGAGGGGAGCCAATTGGCTTGCACTAACCCGAGTAGATGCAGGATACGTTTTCTCTTCTTTCGGACAGAACGATGGTAATTTCCAACTCGAATCCCTGGCCCCGGACCTATTCCAGAGAAGAAACGAAGAGCCATGTGGATGAAAGCTTCTTCTTCATTTTCCGTCTTGGTCATTTTAAACAACTGGTCAAGCACAAAGAAAGGTAGTTGATTTTCAACCAGCAGCAACTCTTATCCAAGGATGGATAGATTAAAATTGAGCTTGAAAAGATCGTGGTGCTCGTCTTTGAGTTCATCGCAGGCAAATTTGCGGATTAGCTCAATGATAAAGCAACCATCAAGGACCAATATCTCCACAAATCCTTGGGTACTCATATACACGGTTTCTGAATAGCAACTCCGAGCTTCTTTTTCTTCGTTTCTCATGGCCTCTACGTATCAAACCGGACTATCTTCTTTTCTTCGTTGAAGAAGCATTTTCAAATAACTCCATTTGTGGATTTCCATAGCCCTCAAATGAGCTTTACCACGGTGGTAAGGGCCAATCGAAATTACTCGAGGCTCATAAGCTCTTTTGTTTACCTGGCGTAGTTGGTAAGGGACTCTGGAAATAAAGGCGTCCAAAGACCTTGAAAGTTTCTTATGAAGCATTGTCATGGGAATGCAAATCTCGTCTTTTTCATCGGCCATAACCTGCACAATATGAAATTGATGCTCTTTCAAAATGGGGCAAGCTCAATTCATGAAAATAAGTATTACAGAATAGATGTATATGCACGATGTATCTCCATTTTGATCGAACATGAAATTAATAGTTCTTTCCTTCTCCTTCTCCCTTCTACCATGCATTAATCTAAGGATCAGGGGAGAAAGTGAATACTGGCACAATCTTTGTCACCCTCAATGACAAAATA